GAAGAGTGATGATTAGCAAAGCAATAACTAACAAAGTGATCAACAAAGTGATGACCAACAAAGTGATAACCAACAAAGTGACGAGCAACAAAGTGATGACCAAAGTAATGATTAATAACCTGAAACTTAACAACCTGACAAAGCAAATACTCAACCTAGTTATTCAAATATAAAAAGTACAGAAGTTAGTGACAATGATAGTTATGGTAATGAAGAGATTAACAAAAGGCCTGATAAGATTGAAAATAGATCTGAAAAAAAGGCTACAGTAGATCTATTGTATAAACTGTTTTAACAAGTCTTCGTAAATGATTTTTGAAGTCGTGCATCGCCAATTGAAAAACTATATTACTTAGCAGAGATATTTCCTGTTATTTGTTACTTATGTGGAAATCAAAATGTATTAGAATCTTCAAAGGGTGAATGACTACTATGTGTTAGGTGTATGGGAAAAGCTTTGCCAAAAAAGCACTTTAAGTGGGTTTAGGGTACAAATAAAAAAGAGAAACAGCATCGAACTCAATAGTATTACATAGCGTTAGATTGTTTCTTGTGTTAAATATAAATATAACAATAAATAAAATACATTATACATATGTATATTATATGTATATATTTGTGTAAAGATGTAAATCAGCTCATCAGCTCTATTGATTAATCAGTTTTTATTATACTGAATATATAAGCCAATCGAGCTATTTTGTATCACTATATTTGTACAAATAAATAATAATCGTGCATTTCTATTGGCTGTTAATTTGCTGTAGTATAAAAAAAAAATTCTGAGTTTAGTAATTTTTGACCTAGCCGGGATATGAAAACCAAGAAATTTTTTTTATATAGCCTTAGTTAACTAAAAATAGATTTTTTTATTATATCATGGTGGAAATAGCAAAAAGCTATAGTAGAAATAGGTGAACTCTTAAAATATTAATAATTTATTTTATTGATTATAATATAATTATTACAAATTTATATTTAATTATATTAAATAAATTATAACAAATACTTACCAAATTTTTTGCTAGTTTATTTTTAATAATGCTCTCTGAAATTGTTAAATTTTCTTGCTTTGGATCTAAAATTGTTTGGCAAACTGTGATTGCATATGCAATCTTTTCGTTAGTACACAGATCGAACGAAGAACTACCGGGTAGATATCGGTACACCGATATATACCAATAGGTGTCTAGTAGTAAAATGATAGTTTATCGATAGTTAAATCTGATATATATCTGATATGACTTCTATATTAAACAGAAATTTGGCTCATATAGGGCATCTATCAGATAAATATCAGCATCATATCAGTAACATATCAGTGCTATATCGGTACTCCGATATGTGATAGAGAAAACCCGATATGTATCCTATGTTTTTTT